TATATATATATTTATACGCTTTGTTGGTTTTTGTGTTTCTCTAGAGAACCCAATCTAACACAACTAGCCTCAGACCAGAAGAGCTAGATGGTGCCTGACCACCGTCAGCGCTCTGATTGGGATCACAATAGAAAATCCTGGACAGAGTGGGGGGGGAAATGTAGAACAAAATTCAAAATCATAAAAAAGACCAGACTTATTAGTTTGATAGAGACTGGTGGAACCCCTGAGACTATTACCCTTACATACCCTTCAACCCTGGAATTTAACCCACTCCTAGAGATTACCTTTCACCCAAACAAAAGACAGACCTATAAAGTGGACAGTAACACTGGGGAGGAACTTGCTTCTCAGAACATCAACCATCGAAGACCAATTGGGCAGCATTTGCCCAAAAACAAAGTTCAGAAGGCAGAATGGAACAGTAAAGATGGGCAAATGGAAAAGGGGAACTCAAGGAGGAAGTGGGAAGAGTGCTGTTACATTGAGCAGATTGCAATGAATATCATAAAACACAATGTTCTTCCTCCAATCCTAATGCTGCTTGGAATATTTGCTCAGCATACAGATTGAGTAAGTATGGTGAAATGATGCAGTCATGATTCACACCTTTTCTGAATTTAACCCATGCTGTATTCCCTTTTTCTATTCAAACAGCTCCCTGTTGATCTATATACAGGTTTTGAATGAGCACAATTAAATGTTCTGGGATTATTATGCCTCACAGTGTTATCCGTAATTTTTCATTTGTTTGTTTTAAGAGTTATAATGAGGAATCTTACTATCTTATGTTATTTTTCTCTCATCATACTTCCTGCTCTACTGATCATTCCATGTCCTTTTGTTATATATATATTAAAATTAGGGATTCAGTTAAGTTAGTTTTAGCAACCTACTGATAATAATTATTAATATAATAGTTATTTTAGCATTAGGAGCTCTGGAGGCATAGTGCCTAAGGCAACTGCTAACCAGAAGCCTAGTGGTTCAAACCCACCATCCTTCCTCAGAAGAAAGACTGGGCAATCTACTTCCATAGTGATATCACCTCAGAAATGAAAGGAGGGGTCACTGTGGGTTGCAGTTGACTTGATTGCAGTGAGTTTGGTTTTGGTTTTTATTTTAGCATTTGTGTTCAGCCATTGAGTCCCAGAACAGAAATTTCTGATTGATAGAAATAATTGATTTCTCGTTTCTCTACCTTTACCTATAAATATTCTTATAAAAGTAAATTATGTTTTTTTCCCTACATTCTTCAGAGTGCAGTTAGCATAAAAGACTTAAAATTAAAGTGTAGGTCATCATTTAAGAAATATAATTTGTATGATAGTTTTGTAAAGTGAATTAAGTTCATTAATTGAAAGGAGAGGTGCAGGCTCTTATATATTTTAGAGGTTTCGGTGTAACAGATATGATTAGGAGAATATATATGATGAAGTTTTTTTATAAAATTTAGTGTTGGATTAGACAGTAGTAAATACTAGCTAAACAGCAATAAAATTTTGTAAGCTAAAACAGTTCGTCTGCAAGGGTAAAGCAAGTTTGTAAGTCTCTTACTGAATTGATGCTAAGCTTGTGAGTACATCTAACAGTCATTTGGAGCCTCCCTTTTGCCATATTTGTCTAATGTATCACATATCAGACTGATTACTATTTTCAGAAACAGTCTTCATGACTGAAATCCTACAGTTAACCTTTAGAAGATCAAAAGGAAATATACTTACTTAAAAGGTGACTCCAGTATATACATATTTTCTCTTTTTATACTTCATAACTTACATGGCTAACAGCTTTTTTGTTTTTAAATTTGTTGCATGGTATTTCTAAGTATGTCTTTAAAGGTCAAGCAAAGTCATTTTAGGATGGAAAACTAACATATCAGTTACCAGGAGCATAGCTGAATATTTTGTCAGGAGTAATTTAGAGTTATCATTTTAAAAGATTTATTTTATCATACATAGTGATAATAAAGCTGCTGTTAGCTCAGATTGTATAAAACTTAAAATTTTTAAAGGTTTCTGCTTGGAATCAAGTAATTCAGAGGTAAAAATATATGTGGTACTTTATCATAGATATATTAACATTTGTATATTACTCATTGGGTAAACATTTTTATCATAGATATTGAAGTCATTATTTATAGTTTACCAAAGTATATTCATAGATCAGGAGACTGCCTTCATTGTTTTATATCATAATTGTTTGTATTATGTTAACTATTAAAATTTCCAAAAATACTTCTTTTTTATTTTAATTATCTAGTATCTTGTTTTATATTTACAAGTTTAATAGTTGTTGTTTTTCATTGGAGATCCATGATTTTTTCCTAAAGCTTCTTTAGAAAAGTATTACTGTTGGAGAGAGTAAAACATATTGAGATGTAGTTGACACTGATTTGTTTTTGTTGTTTTTTTAGGTGGTTGAACAGGGTATGTTTGTAAAGCACTGCAAAGTAGAAGTATATCTTACAGAATTGAAGCTCTGTGAAAATGGAAATATGAACAATGTTGTAACTCGAAGATTTAGCAAAGCTGATACAATAGGTAATGCAAAATTCTGTTTTTGTTATTTAAAAGAAAACCATTGCTGTTAGATATTTAGTTATAATTCTGTTTGTTATATTCTACTGGGGTGATAACCATTTTAAGCATTTATACAATCACAGCATCACAGAGCTTGATGTAACATGTTTTAGTTTAGAGTTGAATTATAGTTGATTTTTGTTCTATTTTGCAACTTTTAGATAAGTGTAACATTTGTACCCTTTTGCTTTTTTTTTTTAAAGCAAATAGTTATTGTTGTAATTTAGCATTTGAAAATGTGTGGCATGTTTGTAATGTGAATGTAAATTAGAGTAGTGGGTACTTAGAACTTGAGAAGGTATCAGAAATACATTTATGTTACTCATTTTTTATATGGAAAGTGACATTTCCTTGTTTATTTCCTTTTTTATCCTTTTATTCTTTTGGACTCTAAATACAGTTAAATAGCTAAATACCATATTGATGTTTTTGAAAAAATTTTTATAACAATGGGTAAGTCAGAGAATTAGTTTTAAATATACATGTACCTAATCACCTGCTCTTACAGAGAACAAGATTGGGTGTGGGGGAGATTTACATATGTAGACATAGATTTGGGAGCTCTGGTAGCGTAGTGCCTAAGGCACTTGACTGCTAACTACGAGGCTGGCATTTCAAACCCACTAGCCACTCCTCGGAAGCAAGATGGGGCAATCTACTTCCATAGTGATACTGCTTTGGAAACCCAAAGAGGGGTCGCTATGAGTTGGGTCCAACTCGACGGCACATCACAACAACAACAGACATAGATTTATTTTTTTTTTCTATTTCAAGATCATATTTAAATTTAAGATCACAGTACTATTTGTTTCAAAAACATGGTGCAAATTAAAAATTATAAAAGGTAGATAATCATTTACAAATAAAGTCATTGCAAAGTAAAATAATGACAATCACGTTGATCTTGTTTAAAATGAAAATTGATAAATACCTGATGGATAAATGGTTATATGGTAAGCCTATGTTTAGTTCAGCTTTGTAAGAAACTGTCGGTGCCTTCCAAAGTGGCTGTGCCATTTTGCATTCCCACTGTAAGTTCCCACTTCAGTATGTTGAAAACATATCCACATAAAAACCTGCACAGAGATGTTAATAGCAACTGTATTTATAATTACAGAAAATTGGAAGCAAGGAATATGTTCTTCTTCAGTAAGTAAAAATGGATAAACAAGTTGTGGTACATCCAAACAGTGGAGTATTATTCAACAACAAAAAGAGGAGCTATCAAGTTACAGAGAGACATGGAGGAAACTTAAAAGTATTGCTCTGGTGGCATAGTTCCTAAGGCATTTGACTGCTAACCAGAAGGCTGGTGGTTCAAATCCACCAGCCACTCCTCAGAAGGAAGATTGGGCAGTCTATTTCCATGGTGCTGTGGCCTCAGAAACCCAAGGAGGGGTCACTGTCCATCGGATCCGACTCGACAGCAGTGGGTTTGGTTTTGGAAGTGAAAGAAACCAGTCTGAAAAAAACAATATACTGTATGATTTCAAATATATGGCAATTGGAGAAAGGCATAACATGTAGCAGTAAATGACCAGTAGCTGCCAGGGATTCAGAGGGAGGGGGAAGGGTTGAATAGATGGAACTCAGGCCATTTTTAGGGCAGTGGTACTGTGTTGTATGATACTGTAATGTTTAGCACTTGACATTATGCATTTGTAAAAACCTATAGGACTGTACAACATAGAGTGAACCCTAATGTAAACTACAAACTTTAATTAATAATACCAATATTAGTTCATCAAGTGTAACAAATGTGCTATACAAATTAAAAGTATAAATAGGAGAAGCAATGTGTTGGGGAAAGGAGGTAAGGTATATGGGAGCTCTGTACTTTGTGTAGTTTCTCTATACACCTAAAATTGCTCTAAAAATCTTTTTAAAAACAAAATGGACAGTAGAGAAGGATATGTGCCACATATGCAGAACTCCTCAGCAAGAAAGAGAGATTAGCAAATTTATGAATTACAAGCCACTGTATAGATCTCCATTGTTAGAACCACTCAGTAAGTATTCTTCAGTTAAAACTATTGGTAATCATGAGTAAATAAAAGTACTGCTCAAATTTTTAAGTACATTTGGCTTTCATGGAAAATACTTTCAATTCATATTTTTCATGAAATACGACCATTCTTCCACTACTCAGTGATTAATTCTAATATTTATACCAAATATTATATTACCAATTTTTAATTTTCCTTCTGTTTATTTAAATGGAATATTTATAAGTTTGAGATATAATTGTCATTCTACAATGTATGCATAAAATATTAGGAATTCCATATATAAATGTTATATTTTTATAATTATTATAATGGATAAATTGCTTATATTTTTAATTTCTAGCTTCTTCATACTTCCTCAGAAAAATAATGCCTTTCTACATGTGAAAAACCAAAAGTTTGTAATATATGGAAATTGTTGTTATTGTTATTGTTATTTGCCATTGAGTCAGACCCGACTCATAGTGACCCCTCCTTGTGTTTCCGAGGCAGTATCACTACGGAAGTAGATTGCCCAACCTTCCTTCCAAGGTTGGTTGTTAGTCATATTAAAAAAATTTTTTTTTTAAATAACTTTGTAAGAATTTGAGAAACACACCTTAGAGAAAGACAAAAATAGACTAAAAATCAAAGGTTGGTAAAAATATATCAAACAAGTGGCAACCATAAAAGAACAGGAATGGCAATATTGATTTCTGATCAAACTGACTTTAAAACAAAAACCACCATATGAGACAAGGAAGGACATTATATAATGATTAAAGGATCAATTGAGCATGAATATATAAACATAATAAATATCTATGGACCCAATGAAAGATCCCCAAAATACATAAATCAGAATTTAAAAGAGTTGAAAAGTCAAATCGATGACTTCACAGTCATAGTGGGAGACTTGAATACACCACTTTCAATGAAGGATAAAACAACTGGAAAGAAACTCAACAAAGATGCAGAAGAGCTAAACAATACAATCCACTAACTTGACCTTATAGACATCTACAGAGCACTTCACCCAACAACAGCACAATATATATTCTTTTCCAGTGCACATGGAATATTTTCCATGATAGACCATCTGTTAGGCCATAAAGCAAGCCTTAATAAATTTAAAAACATTGAAATACTGCAAAGCATCTTTTCAGATCACAATGCCATCAAATTAGAAATAACAATAGGAAGATCAACGGAAAAAGGGTAAGCACATGGAAACTGAACAACACTCTCCTTAAGAAAGACTGGGTAAAATAAGAAAGAAAAATTGAAATTCAAACATTCCTTGAATCAAAGGAGAATGAAAACACAATATACCAAAATCTTTGGCACACAGCAAAAGCAGTGAGCAGAGGCCAATTTATAGCAATAAATGTACACATCAAAAAACAAGAAAGAGCCAAAATCAACACTTTAAATCAACATCTCCAACAATTAGAAAAAGAACAGCAAGAAGAGCCTATAGTCACCAGAATAAGGGAAATAATCAAGATTCGAGCAGAAGTCAATGAACAGAAAATAGAAGGGCAATAGAAAAAAAGAGCAGAAGTTGGCATTTTTAAAAGATCAATAAAATTGACAAACCACTGGCAAATTTGAGAGAGAATACAAATAACACAAATAAGGAACAAAACGGGTGACATCACAAAAGAACCAACTTAAAAAAAAAGGATAATATCCAGATACTGTAAGAAACTGTACTCCAACAAATTTGAAAATCTGGAAGAAATGGACAGATTTCTAGAAACACATAACTTACCTAAACTAACACAGATTTATGTGGAAAAGGTAAACAGATCCATAACAAAAGAAGAAATTGAACAAGTTATCAAAAAATTACCAGCAAAAAGAAGTCCTGGCCCAGATGGTTTCACCAGAGAATTTTACCAAACATTCAGAGAAGAACTGACACTGTTCCTACTCTTACTATACCAAACCACAGAAAAGGATGGAATCCTCCCTAACTCATTTTATGAAGCAGGTATAACTTTAATACCAAAACCAGGCAAAGACATCACTCAAAAGGAAAACTACAGACCAATATCCCTCATGAATGTAGATGCAAAAATCTTCAACAAAATCCTAGGAAATGGACTACAACAACATATCAAGAAAATCATACTTGTGACCAAGTGGGGTTCATATCAGGTATGCAGGATGGTTCAGCATTAGAAAAACAATCAATGTCATCTACCACATAAATAAAACAAAGAAGAAGAACCACATGATCATATCAATTGATGAAGAAAAGACAT